CTACAGGGCCCCGCCATCAGGTTTTTTACCGAGGTTTCCTCCTCCATGCTCCGAAAAGCGAAGAGCCAGCAGGGCAACCGGCAGACACGCCCACCCTGCTGGACCAGGCCTTGCCCGAGAGCCGATGAACGGCTGCCTCTTCTGCTAGAATATTGGCCGCTGGCGATAATCCTCTCCTCCAAGAGGACAAGGAGGAAACAGTACCATCGCCAGCGTTTCCAGGGTGCACCACGAGGAGGTTTTCTAGCCCAGCACCCCAGAGCCTGTAGCCTATGGTAACCAGACTGCTGATAAACATACTTAATACATACATATTATAGATAAAGTACACCCAGACACAAATTACCGTGCTCATCTCACAGTTATTTATTCTGGGTGGGAATCGAACCTACGAAAACATTTGACTGGCCTATTGGGCTAATCCAATAGGCCAGTCAAATGTTTTATTCTGTTAGTTAAATCAATGATCATGAAAATTGATCCCAACGTTCTTGAGTTAGAAAGTGTAGCTATCTCGGATTTGTTTTTAAAAAAAAAAAAAAAATTTCATGTTTTGTATGAAATTTTCCAAGTAGCTTCACACGCACTTAAATTATCTTTTTCAGTATTGTCACTGTCGCTCTGATTAATAGATATGCATAATTGTAGATTTCTAGTAATAAGTGTCTAAACTAGTGTTTAAAAAAAGTTGAAGTGGATTCAACTTTCTTTAAACATTGCAAGTGGAAACTTAAATAAGCTCAAATTATTTTATGAGTGTTCCATTTAATATTAAATTGAGTTTCAGTACAGAATACTAGATACTTGTTTTTAGTACCTATATATTTGTAAGATCAAGTTGATAATTAATCATTGTTGTGGGTGTATAAAAATTCAAAGATTAAACAACAATAGTAATAAATTACTTGTATTTTATTTAAAAGTCTATAGCCTTATTCTAAGCGTAATAATAAACAATATTTACAATTAGTATGATCTCTTAGTAATTAAGTCATTACAACAGTAATTGAAATTATGCTGGATTAAGTTCACGTTTTACTCGTTTTCAGTGTTCTTAAGATATCAGCTGGTTATAGGCTCATCTAAACGATTTTAAACAATGAAAAGGATGATTTAACCGTATTATATTCCGAATACCCACATTAAGACTTGAATTATTTTTTTGGTATAAAAGCGGATACTAAACAGGAGGGGACGTTATGTAACGATGATATTGATGGCCGGGTACCTAAGTAGTTATAGGTACGTCTATCCGAATATATTGGAGACTAAGCTATTGAAGGAACTGCTGAGTGAAGCGAAGATGCCTGGCGAAGCCGAGGGTGGGGGTGGTCGAGGAACCAGTGAGACTGGCCGGTAATAAGGACCACCATCAATTCTCTGAAAAATATTGTGGCCTATTATTATAGGTCTTTAAATAATTAAAAATGTGTCATTTTATTACACCATAGGTTATACATTTGACAAATTAAAAACATGCATGAAATGAATTTGTGCAGCCACTGTCTGCTGCAGTTGATAGTTTTTATTTGTATTTATAGCATATATACACATTCTATCTACTTTATTATGTTTTTCTAAATTAAATAAATACCTATATATTATTAATGGCGATTTTATTTTCTGTCACCTTTTAGATTTGTCACTAATCTGCAATACCCTGTTTATAATATCAATTTATTGAAATATATTATTTAAAACAGCATTCTCATATTATTGTAAATATGTATCTGAAATCATAGTTTGGTAACTTTATTCTATGACCAGAATATAAGGTCTAGGTATAGGAGGGCAAACGGGGAAAAATTGCTTAGCACTGGTTTTCTGTGAGGACGTACCGGCCCATTTATGCCGAAGCATGGCTCTCCCACGAACAATCTATTGTAAATGAGCTCTTTTTAAATATATGATCCGGCCGCCCCGACAAAGATTAGGTTAGAGAGTAGAGAACTTATCTCCCGCCTTAATCTTCGTGGTTATTTTTTTACGACCACCCAGATTGTGCGATTTTATGTTTCAGAGAAAGAGAATCAATAATTTAAAAAACTAGTTTTTTTTTATAATTGATATCATTTTTCAGCGATAATAAATACATTTTTAACTAAAATTCTTTGCATTATTCGGTGACTCTATTTAGGTGACACTTCGAAACCCAATAGAACTATTTGATGACTGATATTATTTTCAAAGGCATTTTAATTAATATTCAAGTTACATATTTGATATTAATTGGTGATTTAAGTGACAGATCTACAATTTTTGGTACAATTTTTATTTATTACGTGATTGGTAGAAGCATAACTATTAGAAATGGTGGCCACTGTGGGGAGGGCCGAAACGTTATGCAATTCAAATTTATTTACTTAATTTTCTCATTAATATTTATGATATTATGGAATGCGAAAATTTAAAAGTTAGGATAACTATTCATATTTGATAATTTTAACAAGTTATTTACAAATATAAAGGATTTTCACTGAGGTATCGTTTATCTCAGAATCTATGTCAATATTAAATGAACTCCATAATTGTATACATAAATTATTCGAAATAACTCACCTTCACCACAGTAGAAATCTACGAAATGCCGAAAAAGGTGGCTTGGATTAAATGAGAAACAAGAGACTAAATGTTTTGTTTACGTAGGTACAACGTATGTATAATTTGTATAGACATAGTATTTGTACTTAGGTACTTAATTGCAATATAACAACATACTACTAAGCAGGCAAGTTTATACATAATATAATACATAATCCTACACTATAAAATCAAGTTATTAGTTATCTAATCCGTTATCTAAAACATAAATATTTCACTTTATCGTTTAGCTGATCACCATATTACTATTTAAACAGGTAAATCAGACTTGTCCCTTACACACTTATCTAAATAACGAAACGAAAACTAAGCATATTTTTAGTTTTGTAATTTTTGCCTACTGCGTCTTGTCGGAAATTTTTGTCGGTAGTTGAAGGGAAAACAAATCGCCTGAAAACGAACACAAGAAAATTTAGTTTAATTTTAAAACGTCAGTTTTCTACTTAACTTCTTCCTCTACCCGTGCATTAAAAATCACAATATGTATGTAACGACTGCCGCATGTTTGGCTTACACGACTACTGCTTGAGGAAAAGTCACTTAAGCAAGAATTGATGTAAAACACAAAATATGTATTTAACTTTATGAAAATCGACTCTTAGAATAAAATTAATAGCTAATCAACTTTAAGAAATAAATATCTTTGACCAACGTTGTCCACATTTGAGGGTAGGTAACTATAGTCACTAAGGGGATAATGAGAGTCGGTTGAGATTAACAATTGTTGCATACGTAACCTCATGGCAAATCTTACCCTGTGCATTTAACACAAATTAAAGTTGAGGCAGCCAAATTCATCACATACTAGATAAACAATTATCGAAATCTGATTATTGTTGTTTTGAATGCTGTTGGGAACTTGAAAAGGGTTACATGACTTTAACAGCATTCCTCATAAAGTGGCCTTGACTCATGAGTGCTTTTCCTTTTGATAGTGTGTTAGACAACCACTAAGTTTTATTTGTTGACTTTTTGATATAATAAACAATGAAAATTAATATTTAAGCATAACACGCAATTTTATGGGCAGTGCGATATAACTCAATTATACCTAATGTGTAAGAAATGAAATTAAAAATATATTTTGTCATTAGAACACACAGAAATATTTTTAAATCGATAATTTAAGCTCATAGGCCCAAAATATACTACTCGAAGTACTTACATTGATTATAAAAATATAGGTACTTAGGTATCACTTATTTTGTGCACCCGTAAAATTGCATAGAAAATGCCCGAAAGTGTGTGCCAGCCTAAATTTGTGAATCACGAACACGTTCTAAACGAGTAGTCAGAGGATCTCGAGCTGTCACCTTATCACTCCTTATCTCTTGCCATAATACTCGTTTTTTTAGGTCTTTTCGTTTAGATGTTAGAACATTGTCCCCTTTTCCCTTACTCTTGTATTATAATCAAATATATATTTTAATGATATTATTTTATTATGTTCGGAATATCAACAGCACAAATAACGTAAGGTTATATAATATATATTATAATAAAGTAACAACGACATGCATGTTATCTTCAGCTGATGTCAGTCAGTTCAGTAAGCGTTAGTGTTATTTTTTTAGTTTCTTATCTTCTGACTGTTTATAAAAAAACAACTTTAAACAACAACTATCAACCCTAACCAAAATTATCTTGAAAAACTTTACAAGATTGTAGTTCCTAAATGCTATGGAATTTGGACTTGTTTTTTTTTGACGTGCATATTTTGAACTGTAACCAGAGCAAAAATTGGATTCCAATTTTTGATTATAAAGGAATTAAAAATAAAACCTAAAATACAAAAAAAAACTCCTTTCTTTTTAAGCATACATTTTTTTTTCAAAGGAATAATATTTTTATATTTTCCATAAAAATGCTTTAGTATCAAATATTTTACTATTAAATCAAAAATTTCTACTCTTCCATTAAAAACGATTTCGTTTATTGATAGACGTAAATAATATAAGACGTCCGTTTTCGGTCCAGAACCATAACGTGCACCACTATCTGTCTTCCATGTAAAAACACACTTGACAAAGCCAAAAAAATAAATATCGATGATAGTTCCTAGCTAATTTGTCAATTCGCGCAAAAAGGAAATCGACAAAATGAGTTTCTCGCATTTATCTGCCGAACCCTAAATATACTCGTATCATTATATAATCGGCGAAATCACTAGATATATATTGAGTTTAATGTAGCCATTGTAGGTACCACGTATCAAGACGGCTAAAATGAGGGTGATATACTGGCTTAGATCACGGTTAGTAAAAAAAAAACAGAAAGTAGGTAGTTATCCAACAAGACCTATGAACCTGATATTACTGTAGGTACTTTATCTAAAAGAAATATTTACTACATAGACTAAGCAGAGTTTTCATGTGTTAGTTATTGTTGAATTTTAGAGATCAGTCTTCAGGGAACACAATAGCTCCTTCAGTTTTGTCGGCGATAGTAGATATGTTATTCACTGTAGGCAACAACTCGACACTCTTGATTGTGCTGGCAGTCTTCGAATCAGCTGTTGGAGTCTTATAACCCTAGGGATCCACAAAAAGTAATTGTAACCACTCCACCAATATTACATGCAAATATAAAGCAAGTACCTATACTTCGTTCAGTGAGATATGTACAATAAAGATAAAGACGTCTATTAGATTAAGAATTACAAACAGGTAAATGACTTTTTCATATTTATTCGAAGAACTTGTAGAAGTATGAAAATTGCGTCCTACAGCAGCATTTACTTCTCATTCTTATGTTGCAAAAGTTTAATAGTACCTAGTACGAACGAAATCAGAAAAATAGAATGCAACAGCGAAATAAGGTAGGTAAATTTTTGAGAATGACACATGTTTCTTGGAATAAAAAAAAAATAAAAGTTGCAAATAAAATATATCTTAAACTTTTGTAAATATGCCTTTCAATCAGGTTGCCTAAAGTAATTACAAAAACAATTGAAACCAAACTTATGTAGTTTTTTCAATTCAAAAAAATAATTTTAAAGTTCATTTTGATCTTAAACTAAAAACGAGACCTTATTTTTACATGTAAATGCCCATGTGCTGGAAACTATTCAAAAATATAAAACGATTTTATTTTTGCGGCAAGTTATGATTAGGTGAAAAAAATGTGAAAATCAAAACAAAAGTTATAACTATACATATAGCTTTGCAGCGATTACTTTCATCAAGCTGCAAACGATGTGGTGAAATAATTTTATTAGTTTCACTGATTTTCACATTTTAATAGAAGAACAAGAATCTATAAATGCCTTCAAGGATAAACTCTCTAGATTAAAGGGACATTGGTAAGTAGATGAGCCACTAAATCATGCAGTTAGAAGAGTTTACAAGGCAAGTTTTTTTTTATTTTAGCAATAAAGTAAAGTACAGAACTTACACCTATCTACAAAATATGATTGTAAATAAAAAAATGTTATCACTTTATTTACATTCTATACTTAAGTATTTACAAGAAAGATTGAGCAAGAAATTTATATATATATATATATATATATATATATATATATATATATATATATATATATTATACTACTATACCTACTGAGCAATAGATCCTAATTAATAACTTACCTTGGCTGAACGTAACGTTATATTTAAAAGCGTGGGATGGTTCTCTACAACAATGAACTCCGCTGTTTGAGGTATATATCCTTCTGCGGTGACCTGCAAAATAAAACATGCGGATGAATAGATTTTGACAGATCTTCGATGAAATAATGAAAGAACTGGACGAGTACGAGCCCGTCTCGCGTTCCGAGGGTTCTGTAAACGAACTAAATTGTAAAGGTATATATATAATATGTTCTTCCATCTTGTTAATTCGATACCTACTCTAAGATATCAGACCGTTGTTTTCGTAAGAATCTGTGCCGTATAGGCCTTCCGCCAATATCCGCGTAGCACCACCGAGAAACTGCCGCAGGAACTTTGCTCTTCACATAATTTTAGCGTGCTCTAAACGAGAAATTCCCTTACTAGTATGCGTGGCGAGCGTAAAGTTCTTTTACGTACTACCCCGGTACATACTCGTAAACTGAGGCGCATATCAGTGGATGCCGTCGGATACCGACGCCTATCGCCGCGGTATCCTATAACGCGGAGAGAAATCGTCTGCGATGCTCTGAGGTTGGTCAGCATTGAAGCATTGAAATTTATACCCTATTTTAAATTGAATAACAAAAAATGTCCATGAATTAAAATCCGTCCCAACCCGTCTGCCGGTTTGCGCAGGCCTTTAGGGGGCAACAAGAATTATATGTCAGGGGGATAACAATTTTGCCTTGCAATTTACAAAAAAAAAACAATCGTAAAAGCTCGGTTACAAACTAGCTGCAAAATAGTAATTTGAATTTGGTTAAAAAGAGATGATGTATGATGTATCGACTGCGCAGTCTAAAGCAGGAAGTGCACATTTCGAGGACCAAAACGTGCAGTATTAGTATAGTAGTAGTGCATGTTTTATATATTTGGGATGAATGGGAACAAAAATTTACTTCGGCTGTGTAAGTGCCAGGCAGCAGTATGCGCCAAAATTCTCCGTATCTAGTGGTACGGTATGTGACGTCACGCCCTTTCACTATGATGGAGGCTCGTTCAACCGGATTCCCGTTTTCATCCATCACGAAACCATGCGCGCCGCGGTGAGCCTCGGCCGCGTACTTTATCAGTGCCTGAAAATACCAATAATTCATTAGACCTTAACACATTGATCAAATACTTATTGTAACGTTGAAAAACTTGATAATCCCATCAATACTAAATAGCTGACTTTCTAAACCAGTCACAAATCACTACCGTGGGAGAGCTATGATTTAGTATTTCTGGACCAGCACGACCGGAGTGATACCACGGCCTTAGAAAACCGATGTTAATTAATTCTTTTGTTACTTTCACCGAGTGACGTTATCGGAGCTTCCCCTCTCCCTATTAATTCAAATGGTGGCAACGCACTTGTTTGTGACTCTTGAGTTGCGGGTGTCCATCGACAGCAGTAGTAACGTACCATTAGATACCCATCTGCCCCCTGTTGTAGTCCCCCTATACTGTAAAATAACTAGTCATCATAAAGACCAAACGTACAGCGGCTGTCAAGAAGTTAAGTTTTTATTAGTGACCGACCGAAGTTTCGGTTTCGACCAGTTTCGGCCAAAAATCCAGTTTCGGTTTGAGTTCGGTTTCGGCTAAATTTGGCCGAAACTTACGGCCGCACCGAAACTCACGGTTCGTAAAGTGTTTTGCGTCGTTCGGTTAATTTCGCGGTTGACTAGTGTGCATCGGCTCTGGCTCAGTTCGCCGCCGTCCAGTGTGATCTGTTTTTATGGTGTGTGGAGGCAAGCGAGCAGACAGGTCGAATATCGAGTCGATAAGAGAATACCGCCGCCCATGGACACCTGTAACTTAAGAGTCACCAGTGCTTTACCGCCCTTTCAGTCCCTCTCCCCAGAATCAGAGTAAAGGGGAGGGTTTGGGCTCCGGTAACCTCTCCCACTCGGTAAAAAGCAGCGAAAGAACTACTTAACGCTGGTTTTCTGTGTGGCCGTGGTATCACTCCAAACGAGCATGGGCCATAAGTGCCGAAGCATGGCTTTCCCACGACTAACTCATCTTGTTAGTTGTGTTTCACGCATGAATAATTGTGTATTTGTTTTATTTTTATTTGTAACTAACATCGTTTAACTTAAAGGCAAATATAAGGTATAGAGCTTCGTTTTATCGAGTTTAATTTATATATTAGTGTCATATGAAAGAGATTATGTTCGATTCAGATATTACATAGGCCGTATTACAGAACGTTTCTCAAAACTCAAGAGACGTTTGAGCATAGTTTTTTAAGGCGAAAACTTAACTAACATCAAATGTTTCTGGAGTTTTGAGTATCATTTTGTAATACAACCTTTAGATTTATTTGTTAGATACTTATTGGCTGCTGAATAACATTCTGGACCCCTATTTTACCGTTTTTAACCATCTAAAAAACTCAAACCACGTGTAATCTTCAGTTGCTTAACTTTAACTATGAGAAAACGCGTTCAAATTACCTAGTCAGCCACCTCGCCCCCTCCTTTCCCGCGTATCGCATGAGGCACCTAGTTAATTTAGACAGGTGTATTTCTAGTATTTAGTACCTAGCTACTGCTACTGCCTTATAATTTCTATCTATGACGCTTTTTTTCTATCATATGATTCCCCTGTGCGATTAGGATGCTTATATTTTTACATTATTATTGTTATTATTATGAAACACAGAAATACAATATATTGAAACCGATAGATTCCAATCACGGAATAGCTGACAAGATTACAGTGTTAATCAATTACTTTAATTACAATTATCTTATCTACGGCAGGCCACATGGTTTATCAAGACTTAAATAGACGGTATGGACGTAATTTCGGTTTCATTTTAGTAATAATTATTTTATTGTGACTTAAACACAAGTATGTCGAAACTTTTGCTCTCTTCTTTACTACTCGCGCTTCTTGTGGCGATTAATGGTGATACCGTATCCAGACAGGCAATCGCTATTTTAACTCCTAGTCCTAACTTTAGTCCAAATATATCTGGCCATATTGTTTTTACCGAGACTGATGATGGCCTCCACGTTTATGGAAATTTAACGGGCATGCCCCCTGGCAAATACGGATTGCACGTGCATGAATTCGGAGATGTAAGCACATGTTACAATTCGGGAGCCCATTTTAACCCGGAAAACACTGATCATGGGGGGAGAAACATCACAGTGCGCCACGTCGGTGATCTAGGAAACGTTGTATTTGTAGCCAGTGAATTTGAAGAGGTCAATGGAACGGACAATGAAACGGGCAATGGAACTGACAATGGAACGGACAATGGAACGGTCAATGGAACGGACAATGGAACGGTCAATGGAACGGACAATGGATGGGCGATTGTGAATTTTACTGATCATTTGATCGCTCTAAGAGGCGAAAACAGCATTTTAGGACGCACTCTAGTTCTACACGAGGAAGAAGATGACTTAGGTCAGGGAGGAAACCCTGCGTCGCTTATTACTGGTAATTCAGGTGCTCGAGTCGCGTGTGGTGTGATCGGAATTAGGTATCCAAGCGATCCTTGGATCACTGGATCAGCTGCTACTACTTCACCATCTTTATTGTTATTTACTGTAACAACGCTAGCTACTTTTTTCTGTTTTATTAAATGATAATTTTCGCTCAGTTTAAATTTTGTAAAATGCAATTAAGGTATTATTATGTTATTTATTTATGAATAAATTATGTAAAAGAAATGTCTGTGTTTATAAATTGTGCAATGCAGATGAGGTGATTTAATCCATAGACAGTGGCGGATCAACCCTAACGTGCGAGGTTCCCGAAAAAAAATCCCTAACATTTTGCCAATTACATAATATTAACAATGCCTTAATTCTATAGAGATGCTTAAGGTTGACATTTAGGATTTATATTACGTAATTGCGACTACTTCTTTGCTTTTAGTTTCTAATACGAGACTACGATTAAGTCTGAGGCTAGTGCGTGTACACTAGAATGCAGTTGCTACAACTACATCTTTAGTGGAGATTACTCTATCAGTTGTAGTTATACCTGGGTTGTCCAGTCAATGGCACTATACGGTGCAACAATGTGGGCGGAAGCTCTGATCGCCCAGAATATGGCGCGCTCTAAGAGTGGTAACCCTCATAGCGCTGGCAGATCTCTCTGGATTTAGAGGCGGAATTGAGTAGCTAAAGGCCGCTTGCCGAGCTTGAAGGTCATCCCATTGGTCGACCCGGCCGGAGGCCCCCACGTACTTACTGGCTTTGGCTCTGCACACACTGGTCAACGTATCGTCGGGCGTAACGTTTTGCTCTATGAGAGCCTATGAGAGTTTATCCCCGAAGGTGTGGCCTACGCTTTTAAAGGACAGGCGCTAGGAGGGGTCCGGAGCCGTCATCTATCTAAATAGGAACGGTCTCGGTCGGCGTGAAATGTCGTGCGGTGTTCCGTAGGAGTCGGTGTTAGGGGCGCACCTGTGGAATATCGGCTACGACTGAGTACGCCGCGGTGCCCTCTTGGATAGTGTCACCGTCACGTACTAGGTGGACGACACGCTCGTGTTGGCGTGCGGTAAGGCGCACCGGGATTCAAGGACTGTCTGGACAAATCTGAGGCCTTGTTCTTTCGTGAGATTCGGAAGGGACCACCTTCAGCGTCTGCGAGCAAGTTATTTTCGAGAAGAAGAGGGTGGAGCGTGACCTGAAGTCGCTAAATGATTCCTGACTTCCATCCTGCATAAGTGCAGGCCTGGGGGCGAAGGTCATCTATCACCAAAAAAAAAAGGAAAGAACCAGACATCTTAATAAAAGCTGTTATGGGATCCCTCCTATTTTGGGCGCAGTGTGTGATTAAGATACACTGCCCCACCGTAAACCCCGGGTGACAGCCCATGTACAAACGTGGCTACATGTAAAAAATAAAAGTTCTAGTAAAGAAATGACAATTAAACTTAGGAGTCGTCATGCAGGGGAGGAAGGGGGGCGATACTCTTGATAGTTAATCCGCCTCTGTCCATAGTGTAAGTGTGTACCTAAAACTATTTCCAATTTGTGATTTCGGTTAGTCTATAATCATTAAAAAAAATCATTGGGATCTTTTAATTGTTTAGATGTTTTACTTCAATTATTAAAAAAAAAACCGACTGCGTGAAAATGGGTAGGTACCTACTTAAAATGAACAAAAAGGTGATTTTTTTTATATGCCTAGTGTCACTCACACAATTAAGACGAATCTAACGATACTTCCTAGCCGAAATCCATACAACCGTATAGACTACAGAGCATAACCCTCTATTGTACCTCCTTTTTCACACGTTGAAAAAAGGACGTACAAAATTTATATAATTTAACAATGATTTACCTGTTTGTTATCTTGCCAGTATTTCGGCAGTTCATGTGCCGGTGGGTATTTGCAGCAAGAGATTTCTAGAGTGATTTCCATACATCCATGCCATAGATAATTGTAATCTTGCATACCGCCTGTAATAATAAAATTATTTCATTATCATCAACAGCCTTTAATATTTCACTGCTGGACATGGGCTACTCATTAGAATGGAAGTTTTGGCCAAGGGCCTACAACCCGTCTAGACAGCGTGGTATACGTTGTCCAGACGGGTTGTAGGCCGTAGCGGCTTAAGCGTTCCTACCACCTCGCCTGCCTTGAGTATGGTGGGTTCGATCTCCACGTAGGATAACACTTTGTGTGTCCCACAAACTGTTGTTCTGAGTCTGATACCGAGCCTGAGAGAGAGTGTGAACGTCATAAAAAATAAGCAGAGGGGTAAAATGAAGTCAAATCTTCTATCTGTTATTTCTATTTTTAGTTCATGATGTTCGGTAATTATGACCATTATATTCTTGATACCATCCCGGGACTGCCCACAACTATAAGTTGGGTCTTAGACGGATTAACTAGAACTGCATATTGATTGCTCCAGTTACACACACGCGCCAGGTCTGACTGATATTTGAAAAGGCTTCTTTTTTTTTATTGGGACTAATCCTACCCACACGCCCACCACTGTAACTCCTGTACACCAGGATTCACAGCAGTGACCCACGAACACACCGAGTTATGACACTCGGGAAGTCCCAGGAAGAAATTAAACTGTCTTGGAACCCGCAACGAAATTAATCAGAAGAAAATTGGAGGAGTTGGAAATACAGTAAATCCACTTCCCTCCTTAGCAAAGCGGGAGACAAAATGAAGTAAAATAGGCATACGCCCTTTTAAACAGGGAAGCACCACGGCCACAAAATATTACGGGTCCTACGTGAGCTATATTTGATTTCTATAATATGTATGGCAGAATGACCGCCCCAGATGTTACCTGCTAGCTATTCAGCATTATATTACGTTCATTATACCAAAGACTACATTCCCAGAGGATATGATGAGCAGATTGTTCATAGTGAGAGTTAGGTGTTGAGCATTGACACAATGGTGACTCGACTAATTTAAATGAATACAACTTGCTCTTAAAGTTACCATGACCCGTAAGAAATTGAGCGACACAGTGATCCACCTCAAGCCATGTCCTCGACAACCGTTCGCGAACAGATGGAAAGAATTGGTAAAGATGGCGCCCTTTGGATGATTCGTCCCAGCGTTGCTGCCATTCGTCTATGAGGTCATCATAGACATCGGACTGCTGTTGAAGCAATCATGTAATTTTATCGCGATCCCGCGCGCCCAAAAAATCGCATTCCATGTTTTGTCTTGAATAGTACACACCCGCCAACACCGGCAAAGCCTCAGTGCTAACCGTCCTATATGCCTTGCACAAGAATATCAGTGCAAGTCGTTGGCATTGTAACAGTTTGCGACGGACAGCGCCTACGGTCGCCCTATCGGCCCATACAGGTGCACATAGTACATAGAACCTAAATAAGTAGCTCCGTATATGATCTTTAATGTATTAAATGATAGACCCCATGTCGCAGTTGATATCCTTGTCAATGCACAGAAACCCTTTTTAGACTTTTCATTAACTATTTTAATATGTTCGATAAATTAAAAGTTTCTTTCTGAAACTAATCCTAGATAACACACTGAGGTTTTATTTTTTGCAGTAACATTGTCAAATCTAATGCTCGGCGGTGATTTGAGGTTACCTTTTAAAAGTAGCTGGAAGGTTTTGTTGTGTGCAAAAGTTAAGCGATTACGTTCACCCCATTGAGATATTAAGTTCAAACATCTATTGACTAGTCTCTCATGCCCCGCCCTAGTGTCAGATTCCACCAGTAATAAGCCGTCATCAGCATACGCGTTCAGAGTACATCCGGATGGTATTGGTATCGCAAGAAAATCGTCGAAGCCGATATTCCACAAGTATGGACCTAGCACCGATCCCTGAGGACATCCCATTGTAAGCGCCTTCGACACAGAATGATGATCAAGTCTTAGTTTAGTTGTACCTTGTGAAAAGTACGAAGAGATAAGGGAATAAATATTTTTAAAGCACCCCCGTGATATTAATTTCAGCAACAGCATGGGCCACCATGCGACGGTGCTTGTGTATATATTTAAAAATCAAGTAGATTACCTGTAAGTGGGTACCATTCAGCTCCATTAGTGATGCCTTTTTCGAACCTGGGCGAGCCAGACTTGCAGGAAACTCCACGTGACATCTTGGCATGGTTGTTAGAATAAACGAGCGACAGGTGACGAAACACGTCATCATCGGGTGCGATGGAGGGCGTGTGCGCGTAGCTTTGGAATACTGCATTCAACGGACATGTTGGTAGAAAAGGAACCTTATTATTTTGCATCATATGTGTATCAATACAATGTGATACGTACTTAAACATCGAGCTTTGAAAGTATCCTCAATTTTTTATTATTACAAGTATGTCCCCGTTTTAGACTTCAAAGTTTAATAAGACAGTATAAAATTAAAAAATACTTTACCTGAACACCAGACTGATGATCTACATATTCCTGGTATGCGTGTAAATAAAAGATCTATTTTTATAGAGTTATTAATAACAGATTTATCATGGAGACTGTGTCATTCCACTTACATAAAATAATAATAATAATCTACCACATTCACACAACGCCATCTAGTCCAAACTAAGCAGAGCTTGTACTGTGGGTACTAGACAACTAAAATTAATACATATAAGTACCTATAGTTTATTTTTGTAAATAAATAAATAAACGTTAAATGTTTATGCACACATGTATGTATGACTTAAGCGGGAATCGAACCCGCTACCTTTTGCGTAGCAGTCCGTTGCACGAACTACTACACCATCATAATGTCTATTTTTCTTTATTTTAAATGAGTAACGGGTGAAATACAAAATCCAGCCTGCGTGTCAATCCTTGCCTAGTCATTAATAGTTTTTCTGAAGTAATGACCATAATATACATACCATGTCTTTAGTATTTTGCGTAATATTTTTTGTGGTTGATACAAATAATATTGTTAACTTTTTATTGATGAAATACATTTTGAGGAGCCAAAAGTACAGAAAGTCAATGCAAAAATATCGAAATTTAAACGTTAACAACATGTATCATGATAACTTTCTTACACAAAACTTAACAGAATAGGCAGTGGTTAGGTATGGTTACGGAACAATGATAGTAAACAGCGTTGATAGTTACTGGCACTGGGTGTGTTGTCAAATGGATATGAGGCAACGAGAGCGCCGCCGTGTAACGATCCGGAGAGCACGAATTGAATTTTACTAATCCACTCCTTCACAGCCTCTGTCTCCGGTTGTGGTTGCTTTGTGTTCGCCTTGAAGTAGTCAGGGAAGTTTCTGTTTAAGTCGTACCGGCGTGCGTTTTGTCTGTAGTCATACAAACAAGTTTGAAATATTATAATCTTTTTTTTTTATATAACTTTTTGCACAAGTACATGCATCGGCAGACTTAATGCCTAAGGCATTCTCTGCCAGTCGACCGATTGGGCGGTGCTGAGAAAGAATGAGGTAGGTGCATTTATGGTAGGGTAATAAACGATAGAGGTTTTGTTAAATACCAACTATCTTGGAATTTGGTGTATACGTCGTAATGCCACACACATACTCATATATTTATACATATACATACTCATACATATATACATATATACATACACATACACATACACATTGTCTTGTCTTCTATAGGATGGCGAAACATCATGAACGGCAGAAATAAAAAATATCCTATTTTTTTTTCTGTGCGGAAATGTCTTTGGATATGACCTACGACGGGTAGATGACCCCCTATTGTGTGGGAACCCCCATGTTCCCTTGGTGCTCCCGAAAGGACACGCGCGCTTAGCAGCGCGTCTCGCCGTCACCCCGGCCTGCTTCTGCTAGGGTGACAGATTGCCTCACCTGTCACCCCCAACCCTGCGCTTATGGAGGACGGAGGTCGTTCTGCGACCTTCAGCGCCTGAGCCGCCTGCGGCACCTGGCCCGTGCTCGGACCTGGCGAGCCAGGAGAGTTCTAAACCTCTCTCGGTCCCGCTCCGCCATCTCCTTCGCAAGCATAACTTGCTCGCAGAAGGAGACGGCATGTTTGTGACATGTGCATCATTGTGACATGATACATCAAAATAAAACTCATAATTACAAAATGTAGATGAACATCTAGAAGTTGAATTAAAAGGTATTAACACTTTTTGCTGTGCTGTGTAATTGTTCGGTCATTGTCTTTAAAGTAAAACACGTACGTGTTTCGAAAGCCAGACTTGATATGAAACTGTAATGGAAAAGCCAATTGCGTCATTATCAGCCGCTATACTTCTGGTTACTTTTGCCTAGGGATAGAGGGGCTCTTGAAACACAGGCATAGGAACATATCCTTAATATGATAAACAAATTATTAGATGTACCTACCTGTGCTCTAAAAAATATGTACTAACATTAACGTTTACGAAACGTGATTTTGTCATAACCTCGATAACAGTGAACTTTTCATTGTGATATGAACATTTGGGTCATACGAAGGCTATTATATAGCTGATCCCTTTCATCATCATCGTCATTTTGAATTACGTAGTTGTCAGTATTTATTACAGCTATTTTATTAGCAACAACACCTAATGTCGCAGCTTCGTCATGACATTTAGAAAGTTGAGAGTAATACATAAACAGCCTATCAAATAATAAATGAATGTACATCTAATCCATTATTAACTTATCACAGTCTACGGGGTACACCCGTTCTTGAGAAAATCGGTAGTGACACACGGACAGACGGACAGACGGACAAGTGAGTGATCTTATAAGGGTTCCTTTTTACCTTTTGAGGTACGGAACCCTAAAAATTTGCTAATTCTGGTAGCTAGAAGTGGAGGTTTGTGAGGACTCCCGAGAATAACTTGTAGATATGGCTTGGGAGTGAGATATGTCTGTAGTTGTTCAAAGTTCTACCATAGTCCCGCTTCATCATCGCGTTAATGGGCTCCAAGGTTATCGCCACTGAGTCTCTCTTAGCTCTATAGTATTAAAATATCTCAATTGCTTCAAGGATTCCAAACCCGGAAGTGATTATTTTGCCGTTCTTCAGTATTTCAGCTGATAAGGCAACTTCTAAGTGTAGTGGTTGAAGAGGTTGCATCACATCAGCTTTTTAACTTTTTGGTTTGCGTTGATAGTTTTCAGTGATATGCGTTTAACTATCATTAAAATATCTCAATTCCGTCCGTTGTTAAAAGGTAGGTTTAGAATCAGTAGGTATTACTTGTTCCACTAACGCAAGAGCATGTCCTTTGTCTTAATAATTTATGGCAATCGTTCTTACTGTAATTATCATATAATGCAATTGTCTTACCTGCCATACGTAGTGTCACACTGGCCTTCCTTCGAGATCGCGAAGCCGTCCGGATTCATAGACGGCATCAAATGGATCCTAGTGTTATCTAATAACCATTTAATGTAAGAATCGGTGTCGTATGATGTCACTAGATGCTGAAACAAATTATATTAAATCGATTAATCCTTAAGTTTAAGAATGAAATTAAAAGTACCTATATTTTAAGCATGCCTCAAAATAGGATTTAGGTTGACAGGATTTATTTTAATTTAAGTCACTCACACACATACGCACCGTTGCTTACACTTGATCAGCCGAATATAATCGAAATTACATCTTACGTTGAACTCACATTCAAAACCCTAATCAGAAAATAAAACAGGCAATGCAAACAACAGAATAAAAACAATTTTATGCTGGATATGAAGATAGAGGAGAGGTTTTTAAAACATAGTCACATTTGATTTTGTCTTATGTGAGTATGTTGACTAAAATTAATCATGAACTACAAACAAGGCTTTTTGTTTTCCTTATGATGTCAAACGCTAAAACCAAATTCCTGCCTATAAAGAGTTAAAAAGATACTTGTGCAATAAATAGGACCCAACATATTGACAGTTGCATATTATGACAGTGCTTAAAAACTAAATTTAGTTCAGCATAAAACTAAGAGAGTGAAAATCATGTGATTTCGTGATGATTACTGATGATATATCATTAATATTATTTTCTTCTTAAAAACAATAAACCACGGGTGACAAGTAGTCGCCTTTAGTTTCCACACCAGTATTCAGACCAGTGTACCATCAGAGCACAAATAACAGTTATATCGATGAATAAACGGAGTCTAATCACCGGTTGTAAGTTGTAACTTACTTGTATAAGGTGCAGCAGTAGTTCGCGACCGACGGCTTCGTTTCCGTGAATGTTCGCCACGTACTTGACATCAGGCTTGCCGATCATGTGCTCATACGGAGATGAAGACACCACCATCACCCATAGATCTCTTCCTGAATTTATTTAAACATATCAATGTTATTCTACTATTTAGGTATTAAGGTATTTTTATCAGGAAAACCATTTCTCCCATCATAAAAAAATATTCGCACATTGGTACATTATTTAAGTTGGACTATGAAATATTATATAGTTAGGTATAGGTATTACATATTAAAATTGACAATTCTAGGTTAACCGGAAGTACCCTATAGGTTTTGGGTCGTACAAATTTGGCAAAAAGAAAAGTCTTACAGCACAAATAATTAAGATAAATTTTGGTACTTACAAATTTTTGCGAAAATCTACGTAATATCTGGGTAGGTACGGAATCCACGGCGCACGAGTTCGACTCGTACCTTACTTTTATAGTTAAATGGTTGAATGGATAAAAAGGTTGAGAATAGATCTTTAGTATGTTGCTATATAGACGCACGTTGGCACGTTGGCCGAGAAGGGAATTTAGGGAAAATGGGGAGATAAATAAATAAGTAATAATATTATGTTTCCTCACCTTGTACTGATTTACCGATGGAATACAGCGCTGTCAGTGATGGGTACTTTGCGGAGACGGCCCGCAAATATTTGGTCATCTGCTCGTGGTTGTGGTAGCGGAACTCTAACTCTGCGCCAGTCTCTCTGGATTCAACTTCACCTAGATTTGTAGACAACTCTTCTGTTGTGATAGAAATTAGTGCAGTTTAATGTTTATTTAACTTGTTATCTAAACTTGTGATGGTCGTTGATTTTGAGGAGAGTATGGACAATAAGACAAATAACTAAGAAACACTACAAATGATCACGAGGATTGTGGAAGATAAGTCAAAGTTACGTTTCCAAACATAAAATTAAAGTAGCTCTTACCTGTATTTAAGCTAGAGAACGACTGGGCTTTCACGGTGACCAAGAAAGTGGTGAAAAAGAAAACGCCACATATTTTCGCTTTTGCAGAAACAGCCATCTGTAAGCATTAAATTCAGTTAGGTAAATGTATATTAATGATGAGCTATATAGCATTAGGCTAAAGAAATATTAAAAGTGAAAAACATGGTCTAGTTTCGTTGGCATTCCACTAATACTCAGCGTAGCTTTAATTTCAGACTCTGACCGTATAGGCGGGTATCTAGCCTACAAAAATCATTTGTTTGACAATACTTCGAGTCTTAGTCTTAGTCAATGACCGACGCGTTCGAAATGTGGTTTGGTTAGTAACATGTTGAGAAGGAATTTACTATCAGGGGGAAAGAAGCTATATTTTTCCTTTATACGAAAAATGTCCCGGACATTGTTTAAATTGTTCTGTGCAATTTTAGTGCAGGCATCCGCCGCTTAGTGCAAAGGAAGCAAGCTCTGTGCTTTTTTATGTTTTAATTATACTTATAGGGATATATTGACGAGACACAAAATACGTTTAATAAGAATAATAAGGTCGTTACTCTTGAAATGTTTAGAATCTTTGCATCATTCGTAAATTACCTTATTTGATATTATCTATGACTAAACTATACAAATATTAGGTGGTTGAGGTTATTTTATAATTTTACGGAGAACAGAACCTATCTATCTAGACTGCACAGATGGCGTAGTATAAGCGGTCACCTCGTCGTTTATGTCGGAACCCTTAATTTTCATTAAAGTAAAAATACTTGTAATTTTAGGTAAAATAGTGGCGATGACTTCACACACACGCTTACCCAGAGCTTTCTTTTTAATGTAGTGTGTTTAAGACAGTAATGTTTGGGCGCGAGCGCACCAGTTATGGCAACGCAACCGGTCCTCCTTGTGAAGGTCACTGGGTCAGTGGACCGACCTTGATACACAAGATTTTTATTTTAGTGTTTTATTTTCAACAGTTCAAGCACATTGGAATGTAGACATCTAGCCATTTTCAGAGTAAACGTGATGAATTTAATTAACCGCAAATTAAATATATTCATATTGTTATGTGGTCACGTGATAATTTGTTTCTTGCCTGTTGTTTTAGTTATAGACTGCAGTGTCGGATTAGCCGCGTAGCAAGAGTAGCAAATGCCTCCAACGCTTTCTCACCGTAAAAAAGTTCTACTTGTTTCGATCGAAGTGTGAAAATATTTTTTCATATCAATTTCAAAGAATTATGGCTGTATCAAGAATTCTCATCACGACAGAGTTGCATCTAAATGTCCACCTTTAATTTAAACTTTTAGTACAATTCTAAAAGTGAGCGTTGGTTGCACCAGAAATTATGTTTTGCGACGGCCAAGCCAGGTAAATTGCCAGCGTGTGCTGAGCCGAGTCTACGCTGCAATCGCAGAGAGGACAGGCAAGACTGAATCCCCTACTAACGACCGATTGCAGAATCAGCCGTGCCCAGAAAGGACTTGCGTCAGTCGAAAGGAAGGCGACCTGTTCGAGCAGGGGCCGACAGACGCTACCCGCCGGGAACTCCCACTCCCACTCCTACAAATCCCACGGGGGAGTACCGGCCAATGCGCACGCCGCCTCCGTCTAACGGTGCGGTAACCGCGTATGGCCCTAACCGCCAATGTCCTCTGAGGGCGCCAGAGGCGTGCTTATCAAAGAGCCATCTCCCATCAGGTATCAGGCACAGATCCTTCATCTATCCTTGAACCGGCACAATGATCGAGTTGACCACGATTGAGGCGCCAGGGAGTGGGCTACAGAAATAAGAGGACCTTCGTCTTATTCAGGACCACCTCGTGAACACCGCACGACATTGGCCGACGTCTCAAACTTGAAACAAACCCTATAGGGTTTGTTCTTGAAACAAACTCTTTAGGGTTGGTTCCAAGGAAAAATTGAAACAAACCCTGCGACTTATCTAACCAATCCGTCTTTCCAGCGTGGTACAGCAGGCAAAAACCTCCTTTCTCAGGCGAGGCTTATGTCCAGCAGTATACTTCTATAAGCAGTTGATAGTGAAGATGAACGAGGAACAATGAATGAAGCCATTAACTAGATAACCTAAAACAAGCCAAGGGCGCCTTGATAGAATATGCTACAAGCCCCGCGCTGTGTTAATCCGGAACTGGTAGACTGTTGTCACCAGGGGCACTACCAGTCAACCGGGGGACTTCGGACATCATTTCTTACGCTCTATGCTCCTATCACCGTAGATTTCGTAATGTTAATTGTAAAGAGGTTTATGACATTACTGGTAAGGCTTAAGTACCTACTAGATAACTTTTACTCTCTCTGTATATCTTTTATTATTAATATTTAAAATAATTATGTTTAAGTTAAGTTGCGTCGACAACTTTATTTGGCCAATATGAAGTTGTCGACACCTAATCAATCAATGACAATGCTCAAAACATTTTTATCGATTGATGTCATTGTAATGGAATGTTTTTATCCTAATATTCTAAACGCTAATGACAGTTTGTTGTTACACTATATAAATTTTGCGTTCCCTTTGAACGATTTCGGAAACTTCATCTAAAATAGTACCTATCGACAATAAAGCAAACGAATTGAATTAAAGAGCAAATAAAAGAAAAGAAAAGACACAGGACAAGTCTAGGTCAAAGCGAAGCGATGCCGGATTTCGCTATTACTAATTAGGTAAGTACTACTACTATTTCTGAAATTCCATTTTAACCATTCAAACGTGTCTTCAATGCAAATATTAAATTTCTGAAGATTTTTCCCTAAGAGTGACGTACATTCACATCGCTACTAAGTATTTATATTTGCACATAAAATGATTAATTTTAATTCGTGGTAACTTTGCCGTGACATAACAGACAGGCTTATAGCCATTTTAAATGTTTTTGCTTAGGTATAGTAAGCTAATGACAGTAGGGCAAAACCTCCTTTCTAGGAAGAGACCAATGTCCAGCAGTGGACTATTTAAGACTATTGATGTTATAACGAAGTGAAGCTTAGAAAGCAGGTTGAGTTTTATCATCACTTTTAGACAAGGAATTGTCTGTTTTAATACGTTTATTAGGCTGTTTACAAGCTTTTATCTAACTTGTCTCAAACCTCTTGTAATCGAGTCGGTTGCATAGGTTTGTACTATCGAGGCACGATGCAGTTTTAATTCAAAAACACTTAATAAAGTATAAAAAACAAGCAATATTTTATGTAACTAAAACTAAAAAATTAGCTGGTGTTTTGTTGAGTTATTTCTTTTATTAAAATCTATTATAGATATTTAGCAAACATGTGACGCGCGCTTTAGCAAATATGTGACTATGTCTCAGCATGGTAGGTAATTACTTAATAACAATCATAAAATAATTCACTAAACTTATTTTTATAACATTTGCTGCGACAAGCTTTTTGAAGACAAAAAATTCATTTTAATCCTAAACTTTTATGGTCCCTTTAGTAAATCCTAAAAACAAAATATGGTTTTTAAAAACCCTTTTTAACCTATTTTAGTTATAATCTTTATAATATAATATACAAACGACATAATAATTACGTTATTCTATAAGCGCACATGATTGAACAATACGTTAATGAGCATATAGAAAATTCCAACAACCATTTCATTACAGACTATTACAGACCAATACTACCATACAGAGACTAACCATACAGACATTACAGAACGGTGGTAATCCTCTTACAGAAAAAAAATTTGTTGTCTTTCCTAGTAGTAGTTGGGGTAATATCTATTTAATCTTTTATTTTATTTACTAAATCATCAAAGCGCAAGTATCTCTGGCGAGCATTTTTTTAAATATTTTATATTAAATGAACCAAAACCTGCTACGGAGCAGGAAATAGATACGAGCAACACGTTCTTTTACAATTACTATACTGTTTGTATATATGAGGGTCAATACTCGTAATAAAAATTCGTTACTTCAAATTTAAGTTCCGATCTACTCTCGATCTCTCAAATGTCACAAAAGGTGTTTTCGTAGTAAAATAGTAAAGTATTACTAAGACTAGCAGATTACGGATTCAGCTGTCGCATGTTGGTCACAATACGATACAATCCCATGACAGTCAACATTGGATGTTTAATGCTTTATTACGAAAAAATTTTTTATGACATTTGTGAGAACGAGAGTAGATCGCAACTGAATTTTGACCGAAGTTTTATAACGAGAATTGACCTTCTGAGCACATAAACAATTCAATATATTGATTTATTAAATCGTAGTTACCTTTTAATTTAATCCCCTCCCAATTTCTGTGTCAATTACTCAATTCCAATAGGTTTTAACGTGATTTTATACAGCTGTTTTTTATAAACGGCCATCCCTAACGCAAAACTAAAGTCGGTCTTTAAGAAACTACAAAGTGTAAACGCACAAACTCTTCGCGTTAATAATAATAGTAGAAACAGGTTTTATAGTGTAGGAACTGTCATCACAAACATCGTATTTATACGTTTGAGCTACTTTTTGTACCTACTTTGTACATTTAAGAAACGTTATTAGTTAGTTAGGTATGTGAAACTGAAGTAAGCATAGAATTTACCTACCCACGGTTTAAATCATTTTTCATTAAGGCTGTATTATTCTTAAGATTCAGTTAACTGTTTCTGTAATAAAATTTTCTAAAGAGTAGGTATACTAGTAGGTAGTTTTACAGACCAGGTAAAGAAGGGGTCTCTCAAAAAAAATGCCAACCGAGATATTTCGACGTATTTTGTTTCCTCTCGTTACATCATGATTACATATTGCAATGTATTGTTCATTGTTGTTATTATTGTTGCAATTGTTTTAAAAAAAAAAATTCAACAAACAACGACTTTAAGCAGTTTTTTGCATGTTGTAAAAAAAAATAACCAATGCGAACGCACCCCGTCTCATTTTGTAGATATTTTTAATATTTCATATCAACTTTCTCATATTAAATTTCTTCGTAAAAGTCGAGGAAAATTAACAATGTCGAAAAACTACGTTTTTGCAACTTTAACAGCAAATTACAAAATTTTGCCACGATCTCAGCTGTTGCATTTTAGTTATATTATCATCCTCTCGTTACATCATGATAATATAAAAAAATGATGATCATATAAAAAATACGTCGAAACATCTCGGTTGGCATTTTTTCTCGAACATCTATCTAGTCGACTCCTTTTCCTGGTCTATTAGTACTATTAGAGAAACCGTTAAAATCACTAAAAAAATTAATAATTGCGATTAAGTATTCGATTTAGTAATTCAACAATATTCTTGAAGGTTCACGTCGGTCTCAACGCTCTTTTATTGAAGGTTTGAAGGTCGTATCGGTCCGGAAATACCGCAAACCATAACTTGTGCTATAGATTGGTTGCTATAAATTGTCTCGAAAAGCGCACAGTAGTGGAGCGCCAATTATCTAGGTGATGGGGATGAAAATTTTGCCGTGTGGAACGATGGCGGAAAGTTGCGGCCGGTATTAGTCCGAACAATTCCTCGGATCGCTATACAATAGAGAATGCAGAGTGAAGCTTCATCTCTACATAACGCCAAGGGATCCAGTCGATCTCCTTGAGCTATCGACGATTCGAGCCACTCTTCGTTGATGTCTTTGATGTGTACATATTGAATAATGCCACTAACCCGTTAAATCACAGAGATCATAGCAATACACAAACGAATTTCTTGTATACCGATAGTAAAGCATGTTTTTTAGTATTTACTATTTATATTACTATTTATATAGTATTTATATGCCAGTTTGTATTTAGCGTAAAATTTACAAGACATGTTAAAACAAGATGTACAGCTCAATAATATCATCTGCAAATGGCTAACATTATTAATCCGTTCCTGTAGATTTTAGTGTAAAGAAACAATTACAAACAGGTTTTTATTTGTATTACCTATTTTACGCGATAACAGACATATCTAGACCCACCGACCATGATAAAATTTGAACGCATTTTTCTTAAATATGAATGTTCTCTTTTGGAAGTACCTACACATAAATTATGATCGTTACACATTTCGAGTTAGTTGCAAACAACTTTCACTGTCACAACTGCATCAGTGAATCTTTGTCCTCAAATGTGTACTAAACTAAATTGACAAAGAGCTGATTGATCCACAACATAATAAGTTTGCGCCTACGTTCACGAACACTTCTGCTATGATCACTTCATTTACTAGTTGAATGACCTGATTAGAGGCCTCGAATCAGGTAACCTAAAACGAGAAGGTCATCTTATAATGCTACAGCACGCCTAAAAATGGACAGTAATTAAATATATATAAGTATAAGTATATCTCCTACTTAAAGGTCCAATGAACGTTATCATGTAAAGCATTTATTTAACTAGGTTTATTTAAAAAAAAACAATCAGGATCTGCGAGGATTGGTGGGGATACATAACTTCCAGTGTTGATGCATTGAATTAAGCAGATTCGACTTTAAAATAAAGTCTTATCCTTGCCCTTAATCAGTCTCCGAAGAGCCTCCACATGACAAAAAAGAGTTGGACACTCACTCTTATCAACGCTAATTTCCAAAAAAACTCGTTGAATACTCAGTGATTAAATTCAAAATGTAAAGTAGTCCGTCACGTCTAGTCTAAATATTTAATGAAAACGAAAAAATAATAAAAATATTTGCAAAGTTTTTTGCGATCGATGGCAACAGATTTTTGTTACAAATTTGGTGTTGTAAGGGTATAGATACGGAGGACCGTCTCGTAAGAGTGTTAAACTGAAAAACAGTTACAAATTAAGCATTAAACAACAGTTCAGACTAAACAACAGATCCAACCTAGAATGAATTATGCTGACTTCAAATATATTTATGAATAAAGCTATAAACATAAAATGCAACATAAGGATCTCTCTCCTACGGATTGCTGTATTAAGGTCAACAAAACCACCTTGACTTCTTGCATTTCATGTAAACTTTTTTTACTTAGTATATCTCAGTGAATAGTGTTTAGAATAGAATACTTATTTATTTACACAGAAATTAGGTTCTTTAAGGTGTTTTGATCCCTTTGTTTTAATCAAGCACACGTCAGGCATGCAATGTTTGCACACCCTACGTGTGATGATGATAATTTTTTTAATTAAAAGATGTTAATACAGATAGTCATAATTAAAAAAAAAAAAAAATTCACATTGAAAAATTATTAAAGAAGAATAATTGAATAATATTTTTTGCATAGAATCTGATAAATTAAGTTTAAAAAAATCATTAATAGAATTATAGAACTTTTCAAGTCACAGAGCTGTCAGTTTGTTTTTGTGGGTTTCAATTGAGTTTGGGATGTTTATTAAATGTGGTAGGGCCTAAGCTACCCCGTTTATCCAAAGTAGGGCATTATTAAAACTGCCTAATCAAGATAAATGTTTATGTACCTATCTATGATAACTGAGTGGTTGACATGCAACCGATTAATATGTATGTGAAATATTATTTGAAGATAATATGTGGTAAACAATTTCGATCACGAGCCATAAAAACGTTTTTTACAGCTTTCCATAGTCAGTGGCACGTTAACCCTATTGTCGTACTATCGTAAATGAAGTAACTTTCTTTTTCAAATGGCGCTAAGTTAACAATTACTCCGTTTATTCAATAAACTAAAGAAGTATTCTGTGGTTTTTACTACCAGTAATATGACTCTTTTAACACCACCCCAAATAGACACCACAACAATGGTTAGTATAAGTACTAAGTTAAGACCTTAGCTTGTATTTTTGTATTAGGTTTATACAATAAAGGCATTTAGGGTATTTCGCGACTAGTCAAGCATGTTTTAATATGTCAAATAAAATCTATGCGACAAGTCTTCTTACCGTTGATCGCCCTACTTTGTGAACCGGACTGTGTTTTTTTTTAGAAATAAAGAAAAGGAACTGTAGCATGCCACTTAACGGCATACCATTGCCGTAAAATATATGTAAATTTATTAGTATTATTATTTACATTTAAGACGATGTAGGTGAAGATTATTTAGATCATCTGTTAAGAAGGTAAACTCTTACTAAGTTTTATAAAAGCGAAAGTTTGTAAGGAACTGCCTTACAAACTTTTACTCAATCAGTCCATAACCGTTGAACAGATCTGAATGAAGTTTAGCATAAGGGTACATTATAATCTAGCACATGAGCTAATTTATATACCGGGCAAACTGCTTGGTTAAATCGATATTAACGCGTGCGCCAGCGCGAAGCCACGGACAAAGATTAAAATTACATTTAATAAAGGAAAAATGAGTTCACCGCGGTTTCGACAGTTACTACTTTTATCGAGAGTATATCCAGAAATCATCCTGACGTATCCCATGGGCTCCACTCATTGATACTTAGGGAGACACAGGCCAAAAACACTTTGTCTTAAAGTACTTGCCAACTTGCAACAAGTAGTTTGATTGATTTTTGAACAATATTTTATTATTCAAGAAGCTATTGAAGACATTATCAAAATGTGAAACTTCATTGATGCACCTTGCATTGTTAATCAACAAACAATGCAGCACGCTTTTTTTGTTATGTGAAAGTTTGGATCTAATTCCATATGAATAGGTATGCTTACTTAGCTGCGTTGATAAGAATAATAATATAAAAATATCGACACGCCTGTTTCTTTTATTTTTAATAAACTTTAATAGTTTTATAGTGATTATTTAAAAAAAATACAGTTAAAATCGAAATTGTAGTTAAAAATTACTCTCTAATTGCATTTTTGACTCTCTTGGTCAAATAATATATGTAACCTTATTCTAGAGAAGAAACTAACTAAGATTCCCATAAAACTCTTTTAATACAAGTAGGTTTCTACAAGCTATTTTAATTTAATAAGAACAACGAGTCAGTTTTCTGTTTTCCTCAAGTTTATTCAACATTATTTCCGAATTGAATTTGCTCAGTAAACTTTATATCCTTAGTTATAATAATATTTATGTACAAGATATAATTTGATTCAATAGAACACATAATAAACACTGATGCACTTACCCTAATTAAGGTATTCTAATCTTCTTTGAATGTTAAACAACTACAGGATAACATTTATAACCTTCTAATGTACACTTGAGAAGTTTAAAGATCGCGGTAAACTGTGTGTTTAAAATCCAATGTCACGTGAAGTGTTTGCAGACGAGCGGACTCCGCTCGACTGGCAACTTGGCGGTTTAGTAGTGGCTATGTCACGCCGTCATCTGCGTCATCCAACACTACACACAACCGGAAAGTGCTTTCTCTCACAACAGTGCTTGTAAAACTACTCCTAACCCCTCGCAGTAAGGTCTATATCATGTTCATAAAAGCTGACGATGTTCAGAACATTAGCAGGGTTCTTCGGCACTTTCCACTCTAGTGGTCACGGCATAGGAGCGAGTTTTTAAAACACATGTGTCGTGACGTGACGTAGTCGCAGTATTCCCACTTCTCGTCTCATCTGGCACTTTTCCCGCGGCTAGAGTTTCTCGGCTATCTGATACTTAATATGCAGTACACGTCTAGTGCAGGAAAATTATTTATGAAACTTAATAATATTAATAGACTTAAATATAAATATGTAATACAAAGTAATATATAAATTTTATAGTTACTAGTTGGTACAACAACCTCGAGACAATTCGTTTAAATTAAATGCGTTTATAGCGTAAAACAGATTGAACATTCCCTGCTAATTACATAATATTAAGCAAAAATTAATACAAACGTTAAATTCCAACCGAAAAGTTGTCATTAATTTAATTAAGAACTTCCACAACTGTAAAAGAATGGATTTTGTGACCAGTCTGGTTTTAGGGAAGAGTTTAATAACAGTAGATGGTACACAACGCAGGTATATGAAAACACTCAGGCACGCCGTCATCGCGGCGGTAAGACTCGTTATGGAGGATTGGCTCGAGAGGCGTCACGGGACCCTCTCATACCGATTGACGCAGGTGATCACTGGGAAGGTAAGTTTCGGGGATCACCTGTGTCTAATCCGCAAGGAGCCAACGCCTGAGTGCCACCACTGCGATGGCCAGACCGTGGACACTCTGCCGTCTACTTCTGCGAGCAAGTTATGCTCGCGAAGGAGACGGCGGAGAGGGACCGGGAGAGGTTTAGGACTCTCCCGGCCCGCCAGGCCTGGGAACGGGCCAGGTACCGCAGGCGACTCAGGCGCCGGAGGTCGCAGAACGACCTCCGTCCTCCATAAGCGCAGGCCTGGGGGTGACAGGTGAGGCCATCTGTCACCCTAGCAGAAGCAGGCCGGGGTGGCGGCGAGCGCGTTGCGTAGCGCGCTCGCTTCCAGGGAGCACAGGGAACATGGGGTTCCCACACGGGGGGTCTACTCGTCTGTAGATGACCCGAGGTATGTCGGTGCACCAGGGACTTCCTTTCTAGGGTATACCTGGTTCCCCGGCTATTAGTACCCGAGACGGCGTGCGGTTTTAGTCGGTTCGGGTCCGACATGCCACCGACAGGTGGTATCCGAGGGGAGTTCCGCACGGAAAAAAAAAAGGTATATGAAAACACAAAAAATATTAATGCACAAAAATAAAAACAAAGTAGACATTACATTTTACGTCACTTATAGATTTTGAATAAATGTGCGTAACTGAATATTATAGTAACTGAATCAGAATTTTAATACTAGCAGTTTATTTGAAGTATTGAAACTCGGCATTTCGTTTTTCGGACCGAGAACAAATCGAGCATTAGAATCTTCCAACGTATAAAAATAGGCGGACAAACACATCGCATTTACGAATTTCGTTAAAATAAATTTGGTAAATTTTAATAATAGACATTATAATTCTTAGGTAACATGAAATCCTAACTTTTGAAAATCGGAATATCGAAATTCGGAAACAAATATTTCGGATTATTTGGGTGTTCCCAGTGGCCTAACTCCACAATCGTAATTTCGGTTTTGCATTTTTGTTATCTCCGTACAAAATGTGTTAAATAAGGTATATTTAGTTATCATCAGTAGATGAAAATTTTAACAATCAATTCATTGGTAACTCATGCATTCAAAGACTTTCAAATCTTGAAACCATGGCTTTTTTTCAGGAGAGCAAAACAGACCTCGTCCTGTAAAATCCACCCAATGGTAGATAGGACAAATAAGCACTTAAGCTACGATAAGTTTCCGAGAGTTTCCTTTGCTAAAAAAAACGTGCAGTTTCTTTAAAATGATGCGTGTTGCTTATACTGTTTTGATGTATGTGTCTTTCCAAATAAATTTATATTTTAGTTAAATATTGAAAATAAACTAAGTACAAAAGAATAAAAATAATAATAAAAGATTAGACACAATATTGAACGATTTGCCACGTCATATTAAAACTACCTGCTATTATCTATTAATACCACTACCCATAATCTTCAAGCGATGAATTATATTCTGCATAAACAACACTCAGTAAATTTGGAAATAAGAAGGGAAATAACTGATATGTCACTCAGTTTCCAATTTTTCGTATAATTTTGGCGCCTCCATTCCTTAAATTTATTTATTTTAGAATATCTATGTGCGGGACTCACGATTGAAATTAAAACTTAATTGTCTTAATTGGTTCATTAGATTCGCAGCAATTCACTGCAACAGACACTAGTAAATAGACAGACAGAGTAGACATATGAAGTAGGCGTTTAGAAGAGTCAGGTGGCTAAACTTTAGACGCCTGACTAAACTTTAGACGCCCGCCTCTGTCGTAAGTCTAAAAGAATGTAAAATTAGAAAATCTTATATGAAGAAGAAATGCTGTCAGCCAATTTTTTTAATGAATGTAAATAAATTTTAATATTATCCGAAAACCTATAAATTGGCACTATCTATACTTATTATGTTCATCTGCCATGGTACGGAAGGTCTATCAATACAGTGCATTAGACTTGGGACAAAATCACAGTAAACTGTGATTTATCATTCGATTTTTGCGTACGTACGTTAAGGTTGCTAGGTAGGTAGGTTAGACGCTATTTAACAGTAAATCTGGTATTTTTTTAATTTTTATGTAGGGAATGGTAGCTGTATATATAATAAAATTAATAACTAGATTCATTGTTAAATAGGCGAAATAGGGTATTTATCGTCGTCTGAAAACAGCTTACGGGCAACAAGCAAATTTGTATCTCGATACACATATAGTGCAATTTGCAACCTGTTCTCCAAGTACTTCACGTCCGTTTATGAAGCCTCCTATTTCACCCTGAACTCTGGGAAGCACCTACCTTGTTCGCGCATAATTCACCCTACCTATTGGACATAACCCTAACTACCAACGGCATATTAAAAGCGATTAAAAACATGAACATCAATAAGGGGCCAGGGCCCGATGGTGTGCCTCCAATTTTTATAAAAAGTACAGCTGAATATATAGTATATCCTTTATTATTTTCAATAAATGCCTACGCGAAGGTATATTTTCCGAAATTTGGAAACGCGCTTTCAAACCGGTTTATAAAAGTGGCGATAAAAATAATATTCTTAATTTTCGCCCCATTTCTATTTTGTCTGCCATGTCAAAGCTTTTTGAGTCTTGTTCGTTAAACGGCGTTCAATCACCACTAACCTCATGCTATTCACCAACTTTTTGTTCAAAAGCATGTACGATAATGTTCAAGTTGACGCTGTATACACCGACTTCAGAAGGCTTTTGACAAGGTAGATCACAAATTGCTCCTTAATAAAATTGCCTTCAATGGTATTCGTGGCAACTTACTACGCTGGTTCACATCTTACATGTTTAATAGGACTCAAAAAGTAGTAATCAATGGCTTCGAATATGACTCTATAACCGTCACTTCCGGGGTGCTCCAGGGATTAATCTTGGGCCCTCTCCTTTTTATTCTATTTATCAATGATATTGGACATTGTCTTACTAACTCACACTTTTTAATGTATGCTGATGACATCAAAATTTCCAAGAAGTGCTATAGCCTACATGACTGTTTACTTTTAAAGGGCGACCTAAACCAAGTTTCACTATATTGTTCTCGTAATAAACTACGCCTCAGCATGCCCAAATGTTAAGCAATAACTTACACAAAGAAGAAGATAATCATAACACACAATTACACTTTACACGACATTGCTTTACAAAAGGTTGACTACATTCGTGACTTAGGTGTCACCATTGACTCTAAAGTACATCTAGATCTACATATAAACAATATTATTAGTAAATCCTTTCAAATGTATGGCTTCGTTATGAGATCTTCTAAAGATTTCAAGCGCACGTCTACTTTACTACTCCTATATAATACTCTTATAAGATCTCAACTAGACTTTGCGGTTCCAATTTAGGATCCTATTTATGACGAATATGTAACAGCAGGTTTTGGCCTACTAAATCACGTTGGCCAGACGGGTTGGTATAGGGTTTGTGTCAAGTTCCCTGGGCCAGACGGGGTACCGGCCCGAGTGCTGGCCCTAGCCCTCAACCACATGGCAGACCGCCTTGGGAAGGTGTTCGACGCTAGCTTGGCGTCCGGCACCTCTACGAGGTGGGCCCCGATCTGTCGGACGCCCAATTTGGTTTTCGAGCGGGGCGTTCGACAGTCGACGCTGTGTTGCGCCTGAGGGCCGTGACCGAAGAGGCCGTGAGCTGTGGCGGCGTGCTGTTGGCGGTGTCATTGGACATCGCCAACGTATTCAATAGTCTGCCATTCGGCTGCATCAGGGAAGCACTACACTATCATGGGGTGCCAAAGTACCTGAGGCGGCTAGTGGCAGACTATTTAGAGGAGCGTACCGTCGTGTACGAGGACCGAGAGGGTAATTCGAGGTGTCGGCCCATGTCGTGCGATGTTCCACAGGGGTCTGTTCTTGGACCCCTCTTGTGGAACATAGGGTACGACTGGGCCCTTCGAGCCGATTTCCCCCCCGCGCTGGGTGTAATTTGTTATGCAGATGACACTCTGGTGACAGCCCGGGGGGCGAACTTCCAAGAGGCGGCGCGCCTGGCCACAAGGGGAGTCTCCCTGGTGGTCGGGCACATTGAGGCGCTGGGCTTACGGGTGGCCCTAGATAAGACGGAGGCCCTGTTATTTCATGGGCTCCGTCGTGGTCCACCCCTGGCGCCTCAATCGTGGTCAACTCGGTCCTCGTACCGGTTCGGGCCCAGATGAAATATCTGGGCCTGATCCTCGACGGGAGGTGGCTCTTCGACGAGCACTTCCGACAGCTTGCTCCAAAGCTGGTCGGCGCTGCGTCTGCCCTAGGGCGACTTTTGCCCAATTTGGGTGGACCCAGCGTCGCGACAAGACGGCTGTACACGGGGGTTGTCCGGTCAATGGCACTATACGGTGCACCGGTGTGGGCGGCGGCCCTGACCGCCCAGAATAGGGCACACCTCTGGCGCCCTCAGAGGGTAATGACGGTCAGAGCCATACGCGGTTACCGCACCGTTTCGACGGAGGTGGCGTGCGCGTTGGCCGGAACTCCCCCGTGGGATTTGGAGGCGGAAGTGCTCGCCAAAATTTATCGGCGAGAGGCTGACTCCCGGGCGGAGAGCGAATTCCGCCCTCCGCCCGAAGACGTGCGCGAGTGGCGCGAAGCGCTCGCCGAGCCACGATGGCTCGTTGGTCGTTCCGGCTGGAGACTCCACGCGCTGGCCTCGCCGCCGTGGAGGCTCTCCAGCCGGTCATCGCCGAGTGGGCAGGGCGGCAGCACGGGACCCTTACCTTCCGGCTGACGCAGGTGCTTTCCGGGCACGGTTGCTTCGTATTTGTTTGGGTACTTGTGCAGAGTAGTCAAGTATTTATGATATTTTTTATTTAATTATAATTCTATATTTATTTCTATATTTATTTAATTATAATCAATAATATTATTATTTTATTAAGTTGATTCTTCAGTTACCAAAATATTTAAATAATCTTTTTGTTACAAATTTGTTTGTTATGGAGATTTGAGACTGATTTTCATTATGAAAGATTATATTATTTTTAAGAAATATTGTTATTACTATCTTGCTTATTTTTTTTCAATTTGGTCTTAACGGTTCTTGACAACTTGTTTTCTTTCGTTGCTCGAAATATGAAAGGGCCCGATTAAATTTTGACAATATTACTCCGATTTTTTAATTGATTTTTTAGAAATTGTTCTTAGTTATTTTTATGTTTTGAACAATAATTTGTAATTTAACGAGAAAACTGTAATTTATAACTACTACTAAACCATTTAAACCATTTATTTTTGCTACACAAGAAACACAAAACATACACGGATACAAGGCACATTACTAAAACACAAAATTAATTTTATAATACATTTGGCAAAATGTGTAGCAGCTCAGTATACGTTGCGCGAAAGCACAACACTGGTTTTCAGCTGGCGCCTGACATTTGCCCCAACAGTTAGAAACTAAACGCACACAGATAACTCGCATCACAATGAACTTAAAATCCAAGTAAATAAATAAGTAATAATAAAATAGTAATACATAAAAAAAAAAATGACAGGAGTGTATATAACAAACAAAAAAAGGAATTATTTATTGAAAGGATACAAAAAAGTGTTAAAATTATAATATAATATGTATGCAGGTTCTCACGACCAGACTGAGAGCGAATATGAGCGAAGGACATACGGTTCCGCTACAGTAATTTGTGTTGAGTAAGAAGTATTCTAAGCAAATGTTTTTTCAAAGTCGTTAGGGACATACTTTTTCGCAGAGGTTGAGGTAAGTCGTTCCATATCTTTGAAGCAGAATACTTGAAGCCTCCCTTGTATTGAGCTGTTCTGTGTGCTGGTATTACCAAGTTGTTGGCTTCTCTTCTGCGAGTATTTCTCTCTTGCACATCCTTAACCCATACTAGCTTTTCGTATAAATATTTAGGTATTTTCGTAATAACAATTTTATGTACTAAACATGTAAAATGTATTTTTCTACGAGCCTCCATTTTCAATGTATTGGCATGATTTAGATATGGTGTAATGTGGGATCGCTTAGGTACGTTGTGGCAAAAACGAACGCATGCATTTTGAACTCTTTGTATGGCATTATTGGTTTTGTTATAAAGCCTAGGCCCATAGACAGTGTCACAGTAGTTAAATTGCGATAATATAATCGATTCTACGAGGATCTTTCTAACAGGTTCTGAGAGCTACTTTCGTATATTATACAGAGTTTTTAGCCTATAGAAAGCGTTCCTTATCTTACAATTTATATGTTCAGAAAAACGAAGTTCACTGTCCATTTTCAAACCAAGGTTCATAGCATTATCGACTCGTTGTATTTCTTGCCCATCAACTTTAATATGAAATGATTGTGTAGCTACTTTATTACACTGTACTTTGGTACCCAATAGCATATATTTTGTTTTACTCGGATTCAATATCAACGCGTTTCTGTTTGCCCAATTGTAAATGACGCTCAAATCTTCATTAGCTAATTCTGCTGAGATTTCTGCATGCTCAGGTTTAAATGAAAAATATACCTGAGTGCCACATCACTGACATGCGCAAGCGCTGTTGCAGTGCCAAACCCACCACGGAACCCCGACTGTATGTCCGGCAGAATGCCTTCATTTTCAAGAAATTTGGATAGCTGGGTACATATCAATCTTTCTAAAACTTTAGACATGACTGGCAAAATACTAATTGGCCTTAAGTCTTTTAGTTCTTCGACCTTAGAACCCTTGGGAATAGGTTTAATTTTAGCAAGTTTCCAGGTTTTAGGGAATTTTTTAGACCGTAGACAGTTATTAACAATAGGGAATATGCATGTATTTTTTTTAACGATTCTACTAGTTATTACATTACCAAAAATAAATATAACACATCCGAAATATAAACCGTTAAGCAAAAAAAAATTATTAAAATCACTATCATTTTGGGGCAATTTGAACACGTCCATTTTGGCGCGCTTTTTTTGTGACGTCAGATTACACTTTCAGACGAATTCGATGTCAACAACGGAGTGAAGTTCACAAAGTGTCTGAAAGTTAAAAAAGTGAGTGATAAAAATTAACTTATTACCATGGAAAGCCAATAAAAACTTATTATAAATATTGTGCCGTTCCTTTGTGCCCAAATAATATCAAAACTGCACCTTGCAAAGTATACTCAGTCATTGTGTTGAGTCTTTCTACACGGGAATTTAATAATTTAACACTGAAAACGTATTAGTTATTAACTTAAAATGAAACAAATAATCACCAGAAATCAAATATTACAAATACACACAACTTGTTGACACTCTTGACAGTGTAGGTTGACGTCACGTTTTATTCAACCAATAGCGTTGCGTTTTAGAAATTTGCTAGGGAATCTTAAAAAAGCCAATTTTTGATGATTAAATTTCACTATTAAATTATAATAAATTTCAAAAATAATTGTATGGGTATCTTTTTTTAGCAATAAAAATTACAAATAAAAATATTTTGTCCATTTTGGGGTCACGTGCATATTCCCTATTGCCGTAATGGCTGCCAAGGTAATTGGCAGGGTTAACCGTATCATATCAATAGTGATGGAATCATGACCACAAGCTCTTGTTTTAATGCTTTGGATTATTTTTAAAACCTCATCAGATGTACTTCTTTCAATAACGAACTGTTTTCTTGCAAATTTATTTTGTTTAAAAAATTGTAAAGTTTGAGTGTCAACAATATCTTTACCAGGCACGTCCAGAAAAAAGTTGTTAATTTTGTTTGGGCCACAAAGGTGATGAGGTACCGTCATTAGTGTGTCACCGCTGCTACTAAGCGGGCATATACTCTTCAACTGATTCCACAACTGTTTAGGCTTGTCTTTATTATTATTTACATAGAAGTTAAAAAAAAGCTCCTTTTTCTCTCTCTATAGCTCCTGTTACATAGTTCCTTAAATTCCTATAATAATCTAGGTGGGCATCATTATTGGATTTCCGAGCTCTGTCCAGTGCTTTATCACGAATAGTCATCATCAATTTTACATTTTGAGTTATCCAAGGTGTTGGACGTGTACCTATTTTATAGCGTATTAAAGGCGCATGTTTATTGAATAGGTTCAACAACATCTCATTAAAGCGCTGAATTTGATCGTCAACATCCGACAACGCCATAATGTCATTCCATGAGAAATGTTTGAGATCGGTACAACATTTTTCTTGATCAATTTTATGCAACGACCGTTTAGATATATATATATATATCTCGGAGGTTCCCTAAACTTTTCTATATTGAACTCTAATATTACCATTGCATGATCACTGAGAACCGGATTATGATGAACACTAACACTCTTGCACATTCTGGGTGAATCAGTTATAATCAGGTCTATAAGTGATGCGGAACTACTGCTAATGCGAGTAGGGTCCCGAACAACCATCTCCAAATTGTGTTGTGTAAGAAAGTTGCGTACCTCACGAGTAGATTGTTTATCAGGTTGCAGAAAGTCAACATTAAAATCAGTCAAAAGAAGAAGATGCTTACAATATGAAAACATACTCACTGATTCGCTCAGACCCTCGATAGCAGCTTCCACTGAGATAGATTCCGGCCTATAAGCTGTACCAATCGCCAGACGTCCCCTGCCAGTCAGAGAGAGTTCCAACCATAACTGCTCCAGTAAAGAGTCAGAATGGGGCCTCACTCGCACTCGTGATCCTTTTCTCACATAAAAGCCAACGCCACCACCACGCGCCCCCGTAGTGCGGGGTTTATGGGTGTTTCTCATTTTTCGTGCAAATTAGGCGTCCATTGCAAAAATCTTAATTTTTTCAGTAAATATCTATGATTCTTTTAAATCAAATCATATGTTATAAAATTGTGCTTATATGCATGTAACATTTATTGTTCCACATAGCTTATTTAATGTGTTATACGTAAAAAACTTTGCTAAATCTCATTTACTTCGGTGTCCACTTGCTATTCTCCCTATTAAATTTGTATTTAAACCTAAAATATAAATATCAAACCTTAACAAAGTAATAATTTTAAGAAACTGTATTAACAAGAGCAACGTTTGAACTTAAAATAATCAATATTAACTCAACAATACAATGGAATTTTATTTTATTTATGCTTAGCACATTTTTTTTCTGATAACCATCGGTTCGTAAGAAAGTGTAAATTGCAGTCTGGGTTTGCCCTTAAATGCTTCTTTGCTGTTACTATACCCCGCGCACATCTCTCATTTGGCTGGCAAACATCGTAGCAGGTGCATGCTTGTTCGTGGAAAAAATATATTTTCGTTTAGAGTTTTGCGGGAGGTGATTATTCTGAAATCGTACTCTTTCCTATCGTCCACACTATTAAGTGAGTATTTATGATTTTATTCAGTGCGCAGCTAATTTTCAATTTTAATAGATACCTTTGTCGTTTAAAATATGCATTAGGTCCGTTACTTTCATATTTTTTGGGAAACTATGGATAAAGTATTCAAACCTCATTACATTCTTTCTCAGTGCCTTCGTTTACCGTCGTTTTTTTGAGCGATGGTGATGAGATTAATACGATGGCAATTAGAATGTATTTTATGTTAGTTCATTTTTATTTGCTATTTTCTTTTTGCAAAATTATGTTTGCCAACTGTGACGATAACTGGCTAAGCAAAAAAATACAATTATTATAATTTAAAAAAATAAAGCATAATAAAAATAAATGAAGCAAATAAAAAATTACTTCTATAGATCGCTAAGGATGCCAAAAAAAACCAAACCAACATTGGAGCAGAAACGAGAGCGAGATCGACTACAAAAAAAAAGTAAATATGCAGAAATAAAGTAAGGCCCCGAAAAGTATGCAAAAGAGAAAGCAAAAGAACGAGTAAGGTATCTTAAAAGAAAAGAACAGAAATATAAAAAGCGCAGCAGATATGACACCAAGACAATTAAGAGTCCAAAGAAAAACATGGAGAGTTAATTCGAAACGTCACTACGAAAGGAAAAAGAAAGAAAAAGTTATACAACAGCTATTACTAGAGAATTCTCAAATAAATAGTGACATTGAAGTAATCTCAGCGAAACAAGATCCTCTCTCTAGACCAACTGTAAGCCCATTTCCAAGTTCTTCCTTAAATTCTTTGGGTTCCGGTAACCATAACTCTTGTCAACAGTGCCTAAAAAAGAATGTGCTTCTAAGAAAGCTTCGCTACCGACATAAAAAAGAAATCGGCATTTTGAAACAAGACATAGAAAAAATTAAAAAAACAGAAAGACGCCATTAGAAATATGTTTTATAAAGCAATGAAAAATGAGAAGAAAAATGCAAATATAACGACTGAAGAAAAAATAGAATATTTGGTACAAAATGAAGGCATTGAAAAACGTGAAGAAATTAAAAAGAAACCAATGTTTAGCTCCTTAGAAGTAGTGTTCAAAAAGGGTATACGTGTTTGAAAAAAAAAGATAAAAAAGAGTTTTCTTATGTGGTAATGACGGAAAAATAAAAAAAATAAAGATATAAGCTCTTGACGCAAACACATAAGAGTGAGAACTTAACAGAGCAATTAATTTTGGAGTTTTTCGATGATGACGCAGTAACTAGAATTGCAGCTGTAAAAAAAATACAAAAAAAAATAATACATTACTAGAAACAAAATAAGAAAGCAGAAAAGATACTTAACAGACACATTGACTAATTTTTACAAGAAGTTTATGCATAATTCAAATGTCAAGGTAACAACGCATCAAACCTTTTGTAAATATCGTCCATTTTGGGTTTTATACCCACAGGAATCAAGCAGATATATATATGTGTGCTTGCAAAGTTCACGTTAATGTTGATTTGTTGACAAAACGAAATATTATATTTCAAAATTTAAAAACTCTCTCGTTGACTATATGAAACACTGCACTAATATTTTAACTCAGTATAGAAATATTAAAGAGCTTAAAAATAATCTTAATCCATAAGAAGCAGTGATTCATGTTGATTTTAGTGAGAAATACTGCGTAAAATATTACGAGGAAATGCAGAGTTTTCATTGTGGTGGAAGTAGGATGCAGTTATCATTGCACACATGTGTTATCTATTTGATAGATCCAGAAGTTGGAATTCAAAAACAATATGGCTTTTGCACAGTAAGTGAATGTACCCAACACGATGCAGCAGCTGTTTGGGCACATTTGATACCGACTACTGCGTATGTGATGGAGCTTTCAAGCCAGATTGACACAGTACATTTTGTCTCCGACAGTGGATTGTCGGAAACAAAATGTACTGTGTCAAATGTCAATATCGAAATCGTTTTATTTTTTATATGATCAGCCAGCAAAATCTGTGACCTGGAACTTAGGCTGGCTAGAATTGACGTCATCATGAAAAGGAATACTTTTCATGATGATGTCAATTCTAGCCAGTTTCAGAGTTTTATTGATGAGAATACAAAACCAGAACTCATAAAAGAAATAAGCAACCCAGATTTTTCAATTACTCGTTCTGAACCATCAATCAGATTCGAAGATAAATTGCCAAATAGACCGTACTCACCAAAGGTTAAAATACTGTCGGATATAAATTTGACTGATTGGGCAAAAAAAATTTACATTAATAAGGAAAAACTTGCTAAAAAAACAAATTAGTAATAATTATCAAACTGACTGAAAAGTTTATTATGGGTAAGAGTAGTAATGAAAATTACACAAAAGAAAATAAAGACGAAATATATGAAAAGCAGAAGAAATTACGAGTAATTGACTTTTGGAATTATGACACCGACAAAGAAGATACAAATCTGTGAAATGATTTTAAGATTTGTAAAGAGAGACTTTTCTTATTCTTGATCTCGGGTTACCAAAAATTAGTAATTAATATATTTAGATAAATTAGATTTTGATTGTATTAATAAAGAATTTTTTTTAAGGAAGGCATGGAGAAATGGCCCATATTATGTTATGATCATTATTTCTATAGCAATTAGATTCTTGAATCATAAATATTAAAAATGCATCTTTGTATAACAACATTTTGTGTCATTCCAGTCATTTTGTGTTATTTCCCACAGCTAACGACTCAAAATCATTCCCCTCCCCAACATTCTCATTACTATCTCATTCCAATTTTTGATATGCTAATAATTTCATTGTTTTTCACAAAAATAAGGTAGAAACAATAAAAGGTGGAAGAATTAAGTATATAGTAATGAAATAAGAAAAAAAAAAGTTTTTTGACAATAATTTGAAATTTAAAATTTTCACCGAATTTGCACGAAATAGGCGAAACACCCTTATGTTTTAATACATAGCCACTACGGGTGCAAATTTTTCTTCACCAGGTTTAATCCAGGTTTCATTTACAGCCAAAATGTCTAGTTTATGTAAGTCAATACTAGCCAGGAGTTCATCTTGCCCCGTATTTAACGATCGTGCATTTAGCAGTCCCAAAACCAATGTATTTCTCTTACTACAAATCATTTATGCAATGTGAATAATTTAAACAGATAGCATTGATATAACAGAAACAATTCCGCGTGTCCAACACAAGCTCAAGTGTCAGGTTCCGTAACAATCTACAAACAAAATCGCAAAAACATTTGTAATCGCAGAGAATTTTAAAGTTAACTGTTCTCAAATAAGATTCATATTTATACAAAGCCCAATAACTGAGAGAACCAATAATTACACCACACAATATTATAATGCTTAAGCCGAACAATAGGGCAAGGCTACTAGCCACTTTAAGATTTTGCCCCAACAAAACAGTCACCAAAAACCCCGGACAAGTCGGAATCAGATCGAAGACGATGACGCGTTGAGCTGTTATCTTTTCTGACATAAACTTTACCTTCACGTGTCCACACAAATCGCCATTTAAGGCGTTCCGCACACTCACGAGCCTTTCCAAATAGCTGCCGATTCAGTTTCGTTAGTCTTTCATTTACATAAAATTTACGCGGATCGCCGATTAGTCCCATACCCGCTGTTGTAGCTCCACGCCTTACCCTGGCGGCCTTCAGCAATGCGTCGCGGTTAGATTTTCTGGATACTCGTACTGCAACGTTCCGCGGGCGTGGACCAGGCTCGCCCTCGACACTGGCGCGCGGCACTCCCACTCGTACCGCGTCCACTATGTTGCGTTCCTCCAGTTGAACGCCCAACTTTGCGGCTACAGAAAGTACGACATGGTTGATACTTTCCCCCGGTGTCTCCGGAATACCCGCTATCTCAACGTCATTAGATAGTAATTCTTGTTCACGTTCCTGTAGGTCCAGCTTAAGCTGATCAATTTGCCTTTCCAGATTTCGAATGTCCGCACGATCCTCATTGTTTATTTTCCCCTCTAGATCATTAATTCTAATTTCTAGTGAATCCATACGTTCATTACTCTTTTGAACTGCCCCCGTTAAATCAATGAGTGAGCTCCTGATGTTGCTCATTTCAATACGAGTTGCGCGCAGTTCCTTCAAGAATAGACTCAATTCTCGGACTGGTTCAGTTTCTGAGGAGTCAGAATCACACAAGTCTGCACCAGTCCGTGTAACGGGACTGGGCATAATTGTCTGACTCGATTTAACGACTATTTTAATCACTGCAATATGTCATCAAAGCAGTCAATAAAAACCGTAACAGCTCTTTGAATGATAGATTATTTCATCAGCTTTGTGTTACTAATGACGAAGATTTCAACCGTTTGTTGTTTTATACTGAAGTTCTTGGCTATCAAGAGGCAATTGTCTAACTCGATTTTACAACTTGTTTGACTCTGTGATAGAGTTCTTGGAAACTAAAGATACAGAATTGCGCAACAAGCTTATTACATCAAGGAATGATATAGCTTACGTGACAGACCTGTATAAATTGTTCAATGACATGAATCTTCTCTGCAAGGCGATGAACTAAATTTATTTAAAACAAAAATGTCGTTGCTGCTTTCGCAACGAAACTGCTTCTACACACAAAGAATATGGGCAGACGTGAGTATCACAATTTTCCGAATTTATCAGTATCCTGCGATTTGTTTGCCTACTGCCAACATTTGGAAAACCTCCACATTGACCTCACCGAACGATACCGGGACATTTTAAACTTGGAAATACCAGACTGGGTGTTGGATCCGTTTTCTAATATTAACACAGCAATGACACCTCAGCGGGAAGAAGAACTTATAGGATTGACAACAAACGAGGAAATAAAAATCAAGTTCAAAAATGGCTACCAAGAATTTTGGCTACAAAAACCGATCCCGCAATTTTTTCTCTAGGTCTTGAAAATATGCTACATTCTTGTCTTTCTTATCTGGATGAATTTTATACAAATGATTTTGCAGTCTTGTTCTCAATTAGAGTACTGTGTTTTATAATTTGGTCTGGGCTTCATAGTTTTGATACTGTTTATTACTTTTTTTAAAGGTGGAATTCTCAATGAACACTTGTATTTATTACACAATTCTTCGAGATTAAATCCCCGATCTGCCATTATTAAATCTCCTTGTTTTATATAATTAAAAAGTTGAAATTTAATTAATAATATACCTGTATATAATGTACCTGTGAAAAAATATTTAAACTACTCACTACATGTGATGTAAATTTTCAATAGAATATAATCAACTATTAGCTGTTGAAAGTGTCATTCCTATTTTCATATGGTTACTATTTTTACAGTACCTTTACGTGTGACACGCTCCAACAATACACAGTCTACAACAAAAGACTTTTCTTTCTTTTCTTGATTAGGATGACATGCTGTAATATTTTCCGCCGTTTGTCTTTTTTTAACTCTTATTAATTAATATGACATAGTTCCGAAATAAGTGAAGCCTATAATCGTCAGACATAAATGTGTAAAATATACTCTATCTCTGATTTCTATATAAAGATCAGCTAGAATAGTATCCGCTAACCCTTTTGGGAAATTAATGCGGGACTTGATACTCCACTCTCACCCGTCCATGACCTTTCGTTTGATAAATTGATATTGCTAATACGTAGAGGGTAACATGAAAGATATACGAATGTGAAATGCTAATCGTTAAGATTGATCTCTTTGGTGATTTTATAGTTATACGGGTGGTATTTTCAAAACATTGACTGTTCTTGAAGTGACTAGACATATTTCAAGATTTTATGAAAGGCTAGGAGTTCAATGTACCTACGAATTATTATGTTCTGCGTACTGTGTAAAAATATTCTTTACAATACGTTATAATCCGTAAACTAATATGATACGAAATTTCGGATGCTCTCAGACATTTTTTATGTATGTCATTGAGGAATTTGAACCGTTCTTTGAGGTTGAAGGGGGCTCTATGATTGAACAAGAGGTTATAAACAAAAATGAGGATATTAGTATTGCAGTACGAGCGAATCGGGAGCCACTTGAGCTTTTAATGGAATTCAAATACATGTACCGTGTAATAAACAAAAAACAAATTTTGTGTTTAAAAAGCTCTAAATTTAATAAAACTACGTTTAAATTTCAAAAGGTTATTAATAATGATATTGTTACAAACACAAAACGAATTAAATATGATACTGAGTTAGAAGTCGCTGACTTTTACGGCTACACGAGTACACAGCGAGTTCCTACAGAACCCACTAGGAGAGATATACTTATATATACAGGGTTACTGGTTAAATCGATCTAGATGCTTTAAGGGGTTGTAGTTGTCATCATTTCTAATAGATTGTACTCCTAAATACCATATCCCAGACCTAACCATTTTCAAGAAATTGGGCTTTTGAGATTTTTATGAAAATTGCCGAAATTTTTGCCTAAAACTATTTTTTAGAATTTATTTTCTTTATTTTTCCTTTTTTACCAAAATTGTAGTTAACTTAACAAACTGGGCCGAAGATAGTTTATAGTAGCAAAAAGAAATTAATTTCAATTTTTTTTTCTTTAGCGAATATTTGGATTGGACTTGGATTTCATTTGATTTCGATTCCATCTAAATTAATCATCACATGCTTTTTAATAGGGGTGTCTGCGGGGTGCAGGTCAGCTTGGTAGATCCTAGTTACCTGTGTGCGACGGTTCACCAAAGGGTGTTCATGTAGATGTGCTTTAAAGATGTCCGATTTTTGTGTTAATTTAGATCTTTTTAAGATCTTTAAGTAGCGTCTACTTTAGGGAAATATATAAAATCAAACCATTTTTTTTGTCTTTGTTACGTTACCAAAAGGATCTGAAATGAGATGAACTCTTTAATTCAGTGATACGGCACATTTGTTTTCACACTATACGAAATGAATAATTATAGAAATCAGATTTAGTTTTTATTTTTCAACTTTTTTTGTACTTGTATAAATATAAAGAAATTGTTTATGATTTGAAAATTATTGCTCAATCGAATTAGAAAGAAACTTACTACTTTTTCCCTTTAAACGTACTTAATTACTACAAATCGTTATCTTCTAGAAAATGAACTTATTAAGGAAGCCCTTATTTATAACTCCGAAAAATGTTTTTAATCTAACATGTACATTTTACTCGAGTAATCTCAAAACGTAACTCACAACCGGGTAAAACTTATATAGTTAACGATACAGATATCTATGTATAATGCACAAACCCGTTAATTTTAATCTCGAAATTAAAAAGTCGCAATAGCTAAATCAAATTATAGGATAATTGTGTACAAAAGGCAAAAAGGTTCACACACACACACCTTTCAATTGTTTTACATTTCATGCGCATCAGAGGATTTATGCATTAACAAGGCGTCATTTTAGCTTTGAAATACAGATTTATTTCTGGTATTTTGGCAGTAAATCCGGCAGGCCGTATGTCATTCTTACCCGTGTACAAATTTAGCGAACACTTCCACAATTTCACATTTGCATCCGAACTTACACGACCTCGTCCTACATTTTCTGAACCTATTTGCAAATCTCAACACATCTTTTGTAAAACCTCTTATAACTATCAAATTTATGTTGTGTTTCGATGTAAAAGGAATCCATAACTAATGTTTTAGCAATGTTAGCCTTAATATGTGTTATCATATCATAATTAAAATTAAGCCGTTATTATGCATTTTCTGCATCTGCAGATTTTTTAGCTATCTTTCTGAAAACTCCAAAGGACTATACTTGTTGTTAAACAGGATACGACTGAAAAGAAAGTTAAAGTATGTATTAGGCGGGGCCTATTAGCGGGTAAGTTATTAGGCTTAGGCGGTTGACGGCAATACGCTTACCCCCCATTACATAAGTGGCACTAAAATCATAGACGGCAAAATGTGGGCGTTTACTCTTAGTATCTGCCTTTCAGGGATAAAAGAAGAAAGTGTACCTACGTATGTAACCATACCAAAGGGTTATATTAGACACATTTAATATTAACCTATTAGAGAAGTCAAGTATTGTAACAAAGTTAAAAGCACCATTTCAATCATACAATCTGAAGAACTTGTTTTGGAGCCCACACGAATCACTGCGAACACTGCCACAAGTTTTGACAATATATTTACAGACATTATAATTAAGGATAAGAAAATAATCAATAAATTACACTCTGACAACTGTGGTCAATTAGTAACTTTCTGTTATAAATATGAAAAAGGGGCAGAAAAAAGGATTGTGGTGATACCTAAAACTGCAAAGTGAAAACTTTAAAAACAAACTTAAAGCTGCTTTCAATATTTCAGAACTCTGCGTAGACAATAACCCTATACTACTATAACACTACGACAATAACACTAATTATAATAGTTTTTTTGAAAGTTTTTCTTCAACACTTAACACCATTTTCACACCAACAAATCCAGTAGTTGAAGGTAACGCCACATTTAGTGAATGGGCTACAACTGGCTTACTCAAAAGTAGGAAAAGATTATATGAGCCATAGAATGATATAAATTATAATAAAAGTGAACAGTTTCATAATTATGTCAAAGAATATTCAAAGCTGTTTAGGAAACTTTGTAAATTGGCTAAGTCCCGTTTTATAAGTTGACAGATTAAAAGTCAAAAGTAAAAGAAGGAAAGTTATTAACAATGAAACTGAAAAAAAAAACAATACTGTGATAATGAATTTAATCTGAATGTAAACAATAAATTTATCACATCAAATGTTTGAGCCGCATTTGAGAACTTTTTTAGCAACATTTCTGTATCAACTACTAAATCTTTGAACTCCTCACCGTGCCGTGCAGAATCTATTTTAAAAGATAACGTGGTAGGATTGATAGTGATTTTAAGTTCCAATATGTTTCACCTCTTGAAATTATTAAAGCCTTAACAGTATTAATGTTAAAAAAACGACTGACCTATGGAGAAATTATGTAATTACTAGGACAATTATATCTCTTGAGGCTAATCAATTGTCATTTACATTTAATCAATGTATTGATAGTGGTGTATTTCCTGATCTTATGAAGTCCGGTAAAATTATTCCCTTAGCTAGCAGTACATCTGACACAACTAACTTTAGTCCTATTTCAGTACTATGAGTATTTAGCAAAATTGTTGAAAAAATAATGTATAATAAATTACAAAGTTATTTTAATAATAATAATGAATTACACAATAGAAAATTTGGTTTTACTTTT